AGTCGAAATCAAACTAACCAAGTCTAGTTTTCTTGATTCCTCAAAACAGCATAAGAGGAAAGGTTCTTCCGAAGAAAAAATAATAATTTTAAAGACATGTTTTCATGGACTAAGTGTTTGTCTAGTGGCACCGTAGCACCAGGTAGCATGTTCCAAGACTGTTATTCTGTGACTGTTTGATTGGTATTCTAGAAGATGGAGAGTAGGTAAGAAAACGTACAACTTTATGAATGACAAGCTCTTGTTTATTGCATATAGCTACGTTTGTTGTAGAACACAGATATCAAGCTGAGGTGTCAAGTATCAGCTTGTCACAGCTGTTTAATCCTTTTAATCCTTACCCATTACCTGTGTGCTATTTGTTATTCTTACTGTACATTTGGCTTCATCCAATTATCTGTATGCTCCTTGTTATTTATTATCTGCTGTCATCAATGTTAATCTGCTGCTTATCACATGTTATGCATAGATACCTATCATCACTTCGTTGCTGCCACTCCAGCTTGATATTGGTGTAAGAAACTACATCGAAACGTTGCAATGTGCAACACATCAGAAGCTGTCATCCATTAAGTTGTACGTTTTTTTGTTGTTTTTGTGTTATTCTGTGATAAACTCATGTGCAAAATAGATATCCAGTAGTCATGCTTGGCGTAAACAAACGTGTGTCGGTGGATAAACTGGGTTATCTTACGCCGAAGGCGTAGATTGTTGTTTATGAGATCGAACATTGGTTTGTCAGGGTCCCGTTCCACAAAGCGATCAAAGTATCTCCTTTACTTTAACATAGACTTACGGTAGTCGTAGCGCTAAGATGATCGTAACTCCCATCCTTCGACATAAGCTTACGGTAGTCGTTGCGCTAAGATGGTCGTAACTCCCATACCTTAACATAGGCTTACGGTAGTCGTTGCGCTAAGATGGTCGTATCTCCTATACTTTAACATAAACTTACGGTAGTCGTAGCGCTAAGATGATCGTAACTCTTATACTTTAACATAAGCTTACGGTAGTCGTAGCGCTAAGATCGCTTTGTGGAACGGGACCATGGTCCACACTCGGTCACTTACAAACAGCCGTGACATAACACATTATTCACTCGCTCAATCTGCAAGAGGTAGTCTTTTTCGGCAGTCATTTGGGTCGATTAGCATGCATTGCAGTCAAACAGTAACCTGGTTAATATGAACGGGGAGAGATCGAACAAATTGCTCCGTGATTCCAGGTTCTCTTGCCGCGTGTTTACATGCAATTTAGCCTGAAACCCAAACCTACGCATTGACTAATTATCCATTAAGTTGTCTTCACTGCTTCGGAGTCAGTTGGAAGCGCACCTGTCGGTGAAGCTTAGAATAGACACGTTGCTAAACCATTAATTTGACTGGTTTTCCTACCCACCGGCTTGTAACGAAACCTCCATACACAACTACACACGAAGTCAATTCACCTTCAGTCCAGCGCTCGTAAATATCATCAGTCCGGCAATGACAGAAACAGTCACATTGGTCACACGCACAAAAAAAATGTGCTAATTCCTTTGAGTGACCGACACACTATGTCAAGACCACATTGCAAAACAGACGCTCCAGATGCACAAACATGCTTCCCCACACTGTAATTACTTGTTTATTGACTTTTAATGGGATTAACGATAATTTGTAGTTGGCTATTCTTGTGATCACGATCGCAACGCTTTCGGAGCAACATTCCGATACACTGAGCCCGGCCTTGCTTGATCGGACACAGAGCTCGGATCCCTTACACGTGCGCCATTGTCCCAGTCAGGCCATATGTTACCCGTGTACAATTAACCTTGAAGGTTGAGTGGTGGTCCGGGGGAGGGGGCCAGTTCCAGGGACGCGAGTCGTGTGAGGTTTATTTATGAAGAGACAAGCCCATAGATTTAAGATATTTATTGTACGGAACACCCTCAAAGGGCAGAGCACACACACACACACACACACACACACACACACACACACACTCTATAATTAATATACACTGGACATACACTAAACACTGGATAATCGAGGGTGATGAATTTCTGCCTGCTCGTTACGAAATGTTTTTTGTTTGTTTGTTGTGTAACGCCGAACTCAGCAATATTCCAGTTGTATGACGGCGGTCTGTAAATAATCGAGTCTGGACCAGACAATCCCGTAATTGACATCATGAACGTCGATCCCCGCAATTGGGATATGATGACATGCATCAAACCAAGTCAGCGAGCCTGACCACCCGATCCCGTTAACCGCCTCTTACGACGAGCATAGTCGCCGTTTACGACAAGCATGAGTTGCTGAAGACCTATTCTACCCTGGATATTACGAAATGTAATGAGGCAGTGTCGTCATAACTGAAGTCCCTTGTCCCAGCTGCACAGTTGAATATTTAAACTATGCAAGTACAAAACACAACTAAATCATTCATACATTAGAACATAAATGGCTCATCTTCAAATTGTAATTGTGTGTTTCATTAAGGGGATTCCGGGTTATAACAGGCCACCATCAACCTATGCGTGTCGTAGGACTTGGTTGATTGGGTGCTATCGTGCCCTTTCGGCGTTGCTCATAATATCAATCAATAGTTTGTCTGGTCCAGACTCGATTATTTACAGGTCGCCGTCATATGGCTGGGATATTGCCGAGTGGGGCTTTAAACAACAAACAAGCAATCATATATATATAAAGAAGCAGCATCGTTGATACCTTGTTGCCTGGAGACCATTGATGTGGAAGCTACTTATGTGGAGCTGCTGGTCCGACAGGGCATTTGGAGAGTCGAGATGCTATTTCCGCAGTTCGCATTATTACAGCTCCTTAGAAATAATTCATTCTGGGTAAACCCAAACTACGGAAGCCCATTAGGGTTATATCAATTTTTTCCTTGAAACTTCAAGATATTATTTTGATCATACAAGATACTGTGTTGAAATTTTCACGATACTATGTTATCAGTTCAATATACTAATTTGAAATTTTGAAATTTTATGCAATATTAAACTTAAAACTTTAACACGGTATCATACATTTCGAACATGGTATCTTGACTTTGCAACAAAATGTATAGAAATTTCAAATTATTGTCTTCAATTTTCAAATTAGCATCTTTGGTTTGTTTGTTGTTTAATCCAGACAATCCAGTGATTAATATCATGAGCATCGATCCATGCAATTGGGATACGATGACATGCATCAACCTAGTCAGCGAGCCTGACCACCTGAAACCGTTAGTCGCGACCTGCAGTTCATTTAAGTAATGATTTATTTAGCATTATTTAAGTAATGGGATAAACATAACTTTCATATCTATAAATAGTAAGATTAGACCTTTCAAATGGTGTATGACGTGTAGTCGCAGAGATGCTTTACAAGCTGATAATTTCCTGATAAATGTAGGCTTCATCTATCACCACCGAGTCTCTGGGAACTCCTTTAAAGCAGTAAAAGCGTCTGGTTGGCTGGTTGTGTTTTGTAATTTATACTGCAAGATTATGTATCCCTGCTTCAGCTAAAATGTTTGCGCGTACAGTTTATTTAATGTGCTGGTTTACTCTGCTGAGTTTCAGACACTCGTACTGGCTTACTTAGAACCATAATCAGAATCTGAGATTAAAACCCATGATCACAGGATTCTGGCACGCCTAAGGGACGCAACTTTGCACAGCGACGACTGGGCAACCCTTGTTCACTATATTATTATTGACATTATGATATAAACAGGTTATGAAAACCTTTATAATAAATGATGCCTTTGGCACCTGTACCGACACTTCGCATTTAGAGAATAAAGAAGACTACATTTATAAGATAACCCTTCTTCAGTAACTGCGGCTTCTGATATCCATCCAGCAGTTCATGATTAGTGAGTGAGTGAGTGAGTGAGTATGGTTTTACGCCGCTTTTAGCAATATTCCAGCAGTATCACGGCGGGTAGTCTGTCTTACAGACCCTGATACATTTATATCAACTATAGCCCATGCAAGTCTATAATGTTTGGCAAGTCTAGATTACTGCAGTATCAGAAAATGAATAGAATCACTGGGCTCCCTTTTTATTAGATTTTTATTAAGATAACTGAACAACTGTTTTTTTCTGTACGATATGTTCATTTCAGAGACTATATGTTAGTCTACACGGCGGGGGACACCACGACAAGGGCTTCACACGTTGTACCCATGTCGGGAATCGAACCAGGGCCTTCGGAGTGACGAGCGAACGCTTTAACCGACAGGCCACTCCACAGCCCCGGTTCATGATAACCCACAGATTGGAAACTGATAGTACTAAGCATACTGATTCTCGCAACGGGAATAGTCCAGAAATAACTGCACGAAAACATAAATTTGTTATTTTAACTTCTCAGATTACGGGGTCATTTTAACTTTGGGGCATACTGAAATTAAAAACATTGAACATCACTTGGGAGGGAAACAGGTGCGAGCAAAACGTCTTTCGTGCCATAAAATCACTTGAAAAATAAATACTTGAACATGTGTTGTAATGTTTACTCGAACCTCTTGAGAAAACGGGGGTTAAGGGTGGTCCAGTCGTCTAGGGCAAAGCAATTTGCTGTGCAGAATTGCGTCCCTTGGGCATGCCAGAGCCCTTTGATTGTGGTTTCGAATCCCAGTTCGCCCCGATTATGTTTCTAGGTTTGCCAGCACCGTACCCGTGCTCGTGGATTTCACCAAGGTTGTAAACGTCCGAGACCTGCATCACTTCGGACTTTCCTACGAAATTAAGCTGACACGCCGCGATATGACTGGAATACTGTTAAATGCGGCGTTAAACCCAATTCACTCACTCACTCATGATCAATACTATATTTATTCCGACTCAGAATAACCACGTTTGCCCTCAAATGGCGTTCCATATTAAATATTGATATATATTGTTAGCGATATTTACCTTGTCTTCTTAAGGTTTAGAGGCAATATTTTACCTCTGTCGAAAAATACCACAATGATCATGACAGCACGTGCAAATTGCAACGGACGCGCGGCTTTGATAAATCGTTCAAGGCCGCTTGAATGTGAATTTGTTAGGAAGATTCGTTCCATGCACCAACCAAATATTTAGAGTAAGGTATCATTTTCATCATTATTATTTTTTAATGTCGCTATTTGTTTACATCTTCAAAAAGGCAGCAGTTGTGAAATGCACAGTAAGCTGACGATAGGAATATATGTACATGTGGCATGTCGTACAGTAATATTCCTGCGGTAAAACGGATTTTTAAATCTGCAGTCATTATTGGGTTAGTCATTGCTCATGAGAGACCAGCGTCAAGCCTGCGCTGCCTTATAGTTATGCATGGAAGAAGGCCTCAGGATAGCCTTGTGGTTAAAGCTTTGGGTTGTCAAGCCAAAGCGGATGCACCATTTTTAAAAGAGATGGGTCCAAAATAATCAAAAAAGCCACTCTCAGTCAATTTTACTGGGACCACGTCAACAGCATCAATATTTATTTAACACATTTGGCACATAGATAGGTTTAGTGGTAAACTAGTGCCTATTGATCGTTTGGAATTTTTTTAAAAATTGATTTTTTGAGTTTCGATAGTAAATACTTTGACTTAGACTGAAAATGGTGGTAGTGCTTGTTTCTTGAAGATATTGAAAACCATACAATATTTCATGGCTTGCACATGTCATATTGGCAGGGAATATGAGTATTTCATGCTTGTTTTTTAAAGCTTATTGATTGTCTCTATGAACATGTAAACATTTAAATAATGTACCATAATAAGTTTAACTCACTTTAACTCAATTCTGTCATCAGTGTGTATGGTATTACACCACTTAAGCAACTTTCTAGCCAGTCACAGCATGTTCAAGTGAGCTATCTTACCAGACTGTTTGATTGGCATCTATCTGGACATGTGAGTTTTTTCCCACAGAAAAAAAAACTTCAAACATCAACTAACTGAATTAAAATGCCATGTAAGATGACTTGACATTTTGGTTGATTGAAATTCACACAAGAATCTGTCAGATTTAGATTATTCATAGAATTTGTAAAGCAACCTCTTGTTACATTTTAGCTGCATGCCAAGAGATGGTCTCCTACACCAGACACATCGAGAACCGAGCTTGGATTACAAGTTACAGCTCGTCTGAAGATTAAGGTATGTCATGTTGAGGGTGACAACGGGATAAGACATCAGTGTGACAAAGCTTATGAAATGTTCACGCTTTCATGATCACAAATAGAAGATTGTGTGTCAAGGTCACGAGTTAAGACCATGCTGACTTTTTATCAAATTCAAAAACATTCTCAAATTTGAGAAGTGGGACAAGACTTGGGATGATAATTTCATGGAATGTATCGCTGGATAGATGCACTAGGTGATGAGTGAGAGAGTGAGTATGGTTTTACGCCGCTTTTAGCAATATTCCAGCAATATCACGGCAGGGGACACAAGAAATGGGCTTCACACATTGTACCCATGTCGGGAATGAAACCCGGGTCTTCGGCGTGACGAGCGCTTTAACCACTAGGCTACCTGACCGCCCCTCACTAGGTGATGAGATAAGATAATTTATTGTGCATGGACACACACTAAGGCCCAGGTGTTTTGGACATTATCCGTAAAATATAACTTCTTTTTTTTCCCACCGAGAATACCAAAAACATAACTGGGCACATTTTGAACTAAGCTCTTTAATACAGTGTCAGTGTTGGTCGTGTTTATTGCATGGATAACAGATCATGGATCTGCTTCGTGTAATGTGTGGAATTTGGAAAATATTCTTAGTCCCGATAAAAATGACATGCAGGGTTTAAAGTGATGTGCTGATGCTTGAGAAACATTTTCTTTCCTTTTTATAGCTTGGCGGAGAGAAAACTATCTATTTTGCCTTTTATTATATTTTGATGATTGCATACATACAATGCCAGGCTGGGTACAAGGTTGGGGAGTCTTCACATTCTCCGAAAAGTTCTCGGTGGATTCGACTAGGAGAAGTCCCATTTGCTGTCTGGGCTGCGTGTAAAGGGTGATAGGGCCCTGAGCTGATGATGAGCCTAATCAGCCTGACTGTCAGGATCACCCAAACACTCTTTGCTGTATAGTGCCAGTCCGACATAATTATAAATGGTTCAATGGATCAGTGTACAATTATTTTGCATTATCAGCATTATTTTGTGAGAGCGAGGTCCCACAGGTAACTTTGAACACTGATCTATAGTGCAACAATATTCATTTCAGGGAGCTGTATGTTTGGTTATTTTTGTCCAATCTCTTAACTCTGGGTCCCTAAAAGTCTTGTATTTTACTTCATTAAGTTCTAATTAATTTTGTTTGCTTATTCACCAAAAAAAACCCTTAATGTATATTTGTATAATTAACTTCTCAGCTGTTTCCTTCAGAAACTGTTTTCCTAACATTAAACTAAGTTGTGAACTCATATCAGTGTAATATCTTCAAACAGGTGATATAATATCCTTTGGAATAATTTTCCTGTTTGACCACTTCATAATATGGAAACACTTCCTGTTACAAGACTTGGGAATTTCTTTCCGTTACACATGAACGCAATTAGTGTACCACAGTTTGATGGTGTGATGGGTGATATGCTAAATGAAAGGATCCTAAATGGATGTGTATGTCATTGCCACTGGGGTGAGATAGGGATCAATGAAGCAGTGCAATGAAAATTGTTCAAATGGAAAATGAGTTTAAAAATTATTCCTTTGAAAAATTCAGGATTGGTCATGGGATTGTCCACTGTGCAGAGCAGATGTTGCAGAATGCTGGTGTCTGTATCCCACATGTTAGGTATCCCCTAGGGGTTCCAGGACAGAATCGGCCCCCTTTACTGTTGTGGGTGTTCAGTAATTCCAGGGTGGAATTGGTCCTCCCATGCTACCTGTGGGTGTCCCCTATGGATTCCAAGATGGAATTGGTCCTCCAATGCTAGTCATTGGTGTCTCCTGGGGATTAAAGGGTGGAATCGGTCCTCCCGTGCTAGTCGTTGGTGTCTGGGGATTAAAGGGTGGAATTGGTCCTCCCATGCTAGTCATTAGTGTCTGGGGATTTAAGGGTGGAATCGGTCCTCCCATGCTAGTTGTTGGTGTCCCTAGGGATTAAATGGTGGAATTGGTCCTCCAATGCTAGTCATTGGTGTCCTCTGGGGATTTCAGGTCAGAATTGGTCCTTGTGGGTGTCCCCTGGGGATTCTAGGATGGAATCGGTCATGCAATGCTAGTCATTGGTGTCTCCAGGGGATTAAAGGGTGGAATTGGTCCCCCAGTGCTAGTAGTTGGTGTTACCTGGGCATTCCAGGATGGAGTCGGTCTTCCAATGACAGTTGGTGTCTCCTGGGGATTCCATGGCAGAATCGGTCCCCCCATGCTAGATGTGGGCATACCCTTGGGATTCCAGGTCAGAATCAGTTAGTCGTTAGTCCCTGCTAGTCGTTAGTGTCTACCGGGGATTCCACGGTTAAATGAGTGGCCCGCTCCTCATTGTTCTCAAAATCCAGCACATCAACCAAACATTATATCTGTAAAATCTGAGGCCAACTTATTTCTTTTTCACATTTCCTGAAATAAATTATTAAAAATATAAAAATAGTTCTTACTAGAATTGGTTACCAAATGCTCGAAGAAGGCCCTGTACCTGTGATACAGTGCTGTGTACTCACATTCACTATTGTGGTGGGGGCATGGGTAGCCCAGTCGACTAAGGCGACGCAATTCGCTGTGCAGAGTTGCGTCCCTTGGGCATGGCAGAAACCTATGATTGTGGGTTCGAATCCCGGTTCGCCCCAATTATGTTTCTAGGTTTGTCAGCACCATAACAGTGCTCGTGGGTTTCACGGAAGTAATAAACGCCTTAGACCTGCATCACATCGGGCTTTCCTCCCACATTAAGCTGACACGCCGTGATATAACTGGAATAATGTTAAAAGTGGCGTTAAACCCAACTCACTCACTCACTCACTCACTCATTATTGTGGTAAAGTGACCTGTCATTTGTTTCTTTAATTCCAGGCTGCATCTGTGATAGATGCAACAAATTGGCCACAAAATTTAAGTTGACTTTAAGTGACTGAGTTGGGTTTAACGCCACCTTGAATAGTATTCCAGTTTCCCAGTGTGTCAGCTTGATGTGTGAGGAAAGCCTAAAGGCTTATTCCATGCAAACCATACCAGCAGACCTGCTCTAGTCTCATCCAACTTTCTAACAATAAAAACGTACATGTTGTTTGTTGCATGACTAATAGCTTCTATTGCAGTATGCTCATGATGCATTCTCAGTTACTGCAGCACTAGGGAAGTATGTCAAGTAGACTGACAAGGTACTATGTGGATATCTGTTTTTTAATTGTGTGTAACTGACTTAAAGAACAATAGCCCTGAAGTCTTCATTTCCCTTTAACTAGTGTTGTCTCTTCAAGTCTCTGATGCAAGATAACTGGTTTTTCAACCTGAACCGCCATATACCTGTCTGAAGGTATCACGGTCGGCTGTCCTCATTACAATAAATTACAGCAAGTGTTACAGAAATGAGCCCAATCACCTAGACAACAAGTGCATCTACACTGACGCTTCCCAGCATGCCCACATGTCTTGTCTGTGCATGCATTTCCTGATGGCGTTAAGCAATTCAGGTGGACAAAGAAAATGCCATCCGATTTAGGCCCCTTGTTGATGGGTATGAGTGCACTGTAATGTCTGCAGCAGACGTTTTTAAATGGTTAAAGAGGCAAAATGGTTTCAAGGAAAAAACAAACTTGAAATGCTCCATTTTGTTTTATGGTAAAATAATTTTTTAAATGGTTTGCTGTAAACTTATTTATTCAGATGATGCATAGTTAAAATACAGGAGTGCTGGTTTGGAAAAGTACTTGTCTAGTCAACATGCTTGTGATAGTTTTCACAAATCAAGACACTTGAGGCAATTTGAACACTACCGTAGTTATGGAAACAGAAAATATGACAAACAAATTATGCTTGTTAAATAGATGCTTTGTCTTCCTCTGCCTTTCCCTATTCTTAAAGATACAGATTTAGAAAGGATAGAGGCTCTGCCCAGAGAGTTGAGCTGGGAGGGTTCGATCCCCAGCCTCGTTATACCAAAAGAAGTTAAAATATGGTACTTATTGTTACCCTGCCTGGTGCTTGATATTAAGTGGATAAATCAAAGACTGGTCACCTCGGAGTCAGTATACAGGGTCTGAATGGGGTATTTATGTTAAACTGTGGCATGGCATAGCGTGGGCTAGTACTATAAAACTGACATTCATCCTCACTAGTTCCAGCAGGTGCATGCAAACAAGAAAGTTGCTATGTAAGTGCAATAATCTTGAACACAAGATTAAACCCCATTTCACCGCAACTCACAGGATGAGAAAGACACTACAAGTAAGAGATAAATACTGGGCTTGCAGGCTATACACATGTGTTTGATTAAGCACAGATTACTGTGTCCTGAGGTTAATAGTGTTATGGTCATTATTAGCATATGTTGCCTGTTACACGAGGAGCGCCTGTAGATATTTAGGGGCAGTATAGATCCCCACTATCCAATACTTGTCACAACAGCTGACTGTAATCTTAAATAAGGGGTTTAATGTTTGTAATGTGTGACCTGGTGAATATGCAGATCTGCACAACAAAATTTTGAGATAAACTTAATATTCATGAATTTTGAGTGAGTGAGTTGGGTTTATCACCGCTTTTTCAACAGTATTCCAGTTATATCAAGGAGTGTCAGCTTAATATGGGAAGAAAGCCCGAAGTGATGCAGGTCTCAGACGTTTACCACTTCGGTGAAACCCACAAGCACAGGTATGGGGCTGACACACTTAGAAACATAATCGGGGCGAACTGGACATTTTGAAGTTTTATAGGTGACCAAGTGTACTGAGTGTAAAGGTGTATCAGCACTATAAATAACTCATTTCGTGAGTAGCGAATAACACAACGACCAAATGCTTAATATTGACCATAAGGGTAGAATGATTGTGTGTAATAAATAACGATATTTGCACATGTGCATTTTAGCAGTTCTCAATGCTGATTGGTCATTTGAAGCCACATGATGTCACAGTGCTTCATTGTTCAGAAAAATACGATATGGCATCATCCATTGTTCATGACGTCACAATTGATTACATT